GCCATTTATACGGTATAAGGGTCCGTAATTGAAGAAGCAAGTGTAAGGTAGCGCTTGCGTAATGCTCTCTCGGCAATCCTCTTATTGTTGTCCGCGCCAACGTGTTTAAGATACGTCGGTGGTGCATGTAGAAACAATAAAAGAATACGCATATACAACGAGAGAGTTCAGTATCGGATGCGATTCGCCGAATTGTTCGACGTGCTGTTGGAAATCTCGTAAGTTAGAGGCGTAAAATTTTAACGAGTTCTCCGAAATTATCCGCCTCCACACCTTTAGAAGTCATCTTTTTGCAGATTAAAGAAATCCAGCGTTTCATGAATAACGCTCTTCGCGGTAAATCCTCTACTCGGAAAAAACGATTTGGCTGAAATATCTAAAATTTTAGCTAGATACTGAAAATAATTGTGTTAAAACCATCAAAATAATTATTATATAAAACGCTCAAACTAGTTGCTAGAATGTCAAAACTCTGTGTAACATTGCTCATCATGCTTGAGATGCCTACAAAATTATTTTGAGCACAAATGAATGAAGAGCATCATATTCGATCAAGGCTAGTCTTGGTGTCTAACAATATTTTTACAATTATATATAAATTTTTACAATTTTTAGTTCAAACAGCGCGCCAATTATTTGTTGATCCTGAAACACAGTCTTAAAAATAAAGCTAGAGAATGTAATATCACAAATTAAATTAATAAACAATTTAATATTACTAATGCTAATACTGATCATCTTCAAATCACTAAAGAATTTATTGCGAAAAATATTATCTCAAAATTATTTTAATAATTCAACAAAATCATTTTTAGATCTATATAGCCAAATTTTTAGATGTTCAGCAAAATTGTTCTTTTCATACATCATCGCGACTTTTTAAACGTAATCAAATTCAAATTACAATGTAACACTCGATGTGATCTGAATATTCTTTAACGTATAATTTTTTTCAACCTGATTGATTTTAATTTAAAAATCGCTTCGTAATTTTAATTTACTCTTTTAGTTGACATAATTTACTATATCACTGTACGTTATTTCATTGCGCTCCATAAAAGAACCTGAAGTAAAGCCGACGGCACACGATGTTCGTTTTTATACTAGATTGTTAGCTAGAATAAATTCTTGCCACTATATTAGCTACGATGCTGACACTGTTAGTACCGCAACCAATACGAATGCAAGATTCTAATCCAGCAGGAAAACAAGCATCGTGTGCCGCAAGCTCAAGATAAATGTAACTAATTGGGACATAATACAAAGTGAATCGATCCGCAATTAGTCACGAAATATGTGAATAATTAATCAGAGTGGATAATTCAGTTGAAGCAATTGGCTCCTCGTGTGACAAATCTTAATTGAAAAAACATACGCAATTCATCGGCACTTGGGAATAGCCGTGAGCTCAGTGAGTTAGTGTGTCAATTATATCATATAAACCTGCTACAAAGACTACACTAACGATACACCTAACATCTAACTCTACACTGTTAAATTCATAATGTCAAATTATACTCAATTTAAATTATTTTAATAATATTTTTATAGGTCATTACGTATCTATATTCAATAGGTTATCACTGTGTATCTATTCAATATATTATTAATTTAACAAAATTAAACAATGAAGTTAATCAACTCAAGAAAATTTATTGAATTTGACTATTCAGTTTATTATTTACTAAATGCATACGTTATTATGAACATTATTTAGTTAAAACTAACCACAGAAATAGATTGAGTGACATATTGTGATACGAAAATTAAAAATAACAAAATATTATTTTTAACTCAATAGATTATTATTGGATTACTATTACTCCTTTAATATCTATAATATTCAAACTGCAAATATTATAGCAGATTTTCTTTAGGTTTTTTACTATCATAAGCTTTTGATTCTCTCTCTCTCTCTCTCTCTCTCTCTCTCTCTCACTCTCTCTCTCTCTTTTGTTTAGTTACAAGCAAAGAACGGTTTTACTAAAGTATCTGAAAATTTAACTAAATGCAGATTTGGAAATAATTTTGTGAGCTATCTAACTGATTGCTGGAATGTCAAAACTTTTTGCAATATTGCTTATCATGCTTAAGTTTCCTTCATATTGTTTTAATAGTCCAACAAATTATTTTAAAATCTATATCTATCTAAATTTTAGATACTTTAGCAAAATCTTTCTTTCCGTATAGAATTTTGTCGGTGCTCACGTGCATGTATATCAGATATATTATATATATATATATATATTTCAGTATATTTATAAATTATTTATTTATACTATTTAATCAGCCTGCAAAAGAATGTCAAGCATTAATTGTCAGTTTTCAAAATAGATACCTAAGAAAAGCAGTCTTATCAAACATCTGTGCTTGAGCGATAATATCAATTTATGGGATAATATAGATGTAATATAGACTATTACATACATATCGTAATAATGTAAGCAGTTTTGGCTTCAATATATTCTGATAAACATCAAATTATAATCAAATTAGGCAAATGAAAAGAACGGGACACAAATTATAATTGCAAATGTGTGATGCTGTTACGCCAGTTTTCTCAAATGAGAAGCGAGCGACATGCAGATCTGACGAGAGATCAGGTGTCGGTAAAATCTGATATCTCCATCTAAACGGACGGCAGAATCTACACGCACGACTAAATTACACGTGGGTATACGCCGTTTTATTGAAATTGCTGGGGAAAATCGTCGCGTATTTGAATGCGTTCCAGTTACACACTTCATTCAGGCCCGGTTTCAATGTCGACCTTTACCGAGTCAAGAGCGAATCTTACATAATCGCGCTTTAAAAGGAACCACGAAAGGTATATATATGCGTATGCGCATAGATAATATTGCTTATATGCCAAGGCCTACACCTTATAAGCATATAATATTATTTAATATCAATTAATATTTTAGGCATATTCTTAGAATATTAAATACAACGTTTCAATAATATTTTATTAAAATTATATAATATTAAATAATATTCCTGAAATACTAGTAGATGTTATATATCCATACTCCTAATACTATTGTATGATTATTGAAAATAACATTATTTTATGTTGTATAAACATTAAAAAGTATTATAAAACAAGTATTCTATAATTTACTTTAATTTGTAAAACTGTTACCCCAGTTCAGTTTAAGATTATGTTTAAAGATAACTGAACATGATTTTGGCGCGCAGTTGTAGAACTGAATATGTACATAAAATCACATCGAAACGTAATTCAAACACTAAAATACGGCGTAGACCCATAAGACTTTTTCGTTACTTATTGTGAATTCAAATAAATAAAATTAATGTTAATAAATATTTTAGTAATATTTCAGAAATATTTTAGACATTATAATACCATGGGTGTTATGTAAAGTGGACATACTTTATTTAATAAAAAATCAAGATCTCTCAGAACAGTGTATTCATTCATACCGCTCAATAGATTCAGGGAAATTGTAAAAAATAACAATGGCGAAAGTAATTTGATGCTGCTCAAGCCATACATAACGGCGAGTAAAATAATTTTGAAATTTATTGCAACACAAAATTAACACGCCATCGCATATTGAACGTGTATTTAACCACATTTTGTATAATAACGCTAATTATTAGACGCTACTTTGGCGTTTTAATAAAGACATTCTAATATATATATATATATTTAAAATTCCACTTAAACGTCTTAAAATTAACTGACATTTTTTATTTCATTCTAAGTCGAAACATTAATTTTATTATTATTTTATATGATAAGAATTTCATAAAAATTAATCGCAATAACAATTAAAATATAGTTCTTTATGTTCCTTCCTTATATTGTGATTTATTTATTATTATTTTAATGTTTTATATTACCTCGAATAACCGTTATACTGTTTGAACGTTTGTTTTTTTTTAACACATCTGATTTTGGCATCACATTTCTCACTTTATCTCTGACTTCTAATTGACCTTTTGTGGTTTTATCGTTTGACTCTTCTAATACGACTACGAACTTTTACTTTGTTACCGAAGACTTCTGCTCTTATATTCTTGGCTTTTTTTGGATAAGTTTCTTCTTTCTATAATAGTTTTAAAATCACATCGTAATTCACAATATAATTGTAGCTACCTTTAACTATATTTATTAAATTATGCTCATAGTTATAAATTATACGCAATTTGAGTTACTTTTAATTATTTCTATGGATCGTCACTGCTCCTACTCATTAATTTAACTTACAATAGAGTTAAACGATTTAATTCAAGAAAATAACGTATTAAATTAAAACTTATTAAAACATATTAAATTTGACTTAAAATTACCCAAGAAACACACAAAAATCAACAAAAAACCAAATTGACGTCAAGATAACTTTATTTTAATGCTTAAAGTCAATAAATAGTCAAATTTGTAGCCAGAAATCATTACTTTAACATCAAAGTATGTCATTTTGACTTTCTCTTCACTTGATGTGTTTCTTAAATCTATTATTTACTAAGTGCCTACGTTAATATGGACACTGTTTATTTCGAAACTAGCCACAGAAATAGACTGATTTATATTTTGACATACATGAAAGTTAAAAATAACAAAATGCTCACAGGGGATTGGCTTATTCTTTTCATTGTTCTTTTGATATCTAACAGTATCAGCTATGAAAACTATACCTAAGTAAAGTTCCTATTTGAGGGACCTCTACCTTACGACAATGAAGTATTTAACGTTTTTTATTCACAATTTAAAACCTCATGGCGTGTATTCGGGGAGACGCTATTGGTACCATTCTGCCTTCATCGTTTATTAAACATCAAACAAAGATAGAATATTAGCACAAATAGTGCTAATAGCATCTAATGTGTGTGTGTGTGTGTGTGTGTGTGTATCCATAGTACCAAATATACAGATACAATTGTCTACAATTTTTGCTTTAGGTCCAAATAATTTGTTGTAATCAAAAATAATCTTGCATCGTTATATCTCAATCAAACTATCCATTTGCCTTATTGTTTCAATATCTTTATTTGTTTATGTATCCATGTGAAAGATTAGGATTAGTAACTTATTTACATACTCATCCGAGAGCGTAGAATTAAGTTTACTTTTATTTTCACCGAGGATGGCTCCAAATGTAACTATAGTTATATAAAACGATTGATAATTTTATTGAATTTAACTGAAGTATATAGTATATACTAACAATTCCGTACTAAATATCGTACCGTATTTCACAGCAAATTTAACTTGTAAATTGTATTTTTAATGTCAGAGTCTTGTTACTTTTTTCTTTAAAAGCTTTAATTAATCTATTTATCCCGAATAAAAGTTTAAAAATTATGTGATATAAAAAAATTTAAACAAAAGTTTTTATATTATAAATAATTAAAGAGAAGAATCTTCAGCGAAAATTATATATTTGTGAGACCGATTAGATCAACTGCAAATTGACTCTAATAAGCTATCGCTTGTTTAGCATGTCTGACTGAATTGAAGTTAAAGCTTTTTTACAAAACACGAAGAAAATAAAACGTTGTTTTGAACTCAAATACTTTTTAACTTTAATATGTATTCATAAAAATTAGCATCTTTCGCACTATCAAGATCAAGGGGAAGAATATTATCCGAATAACTTTAATGACAGTGCATTATATTGTTGAAGTTGTACAATGAGCGTGTAATGAACTCGCTGATAACGAACGGGCATAGTGCGTCGTAAAATTGTCGTTGACGATATTGCCCTTGCCATATTGTCGGTTTGTCAGCTGCCAGACATTGGGCTCGAATTGTGACTACGAATGAAATGCCAAATTGTCCAGTTAAATGAAACATTGATATGTAAACTTCATGCGTCTAGCGCATAAAGTTTACAGCCAAGTCGATGGAGCATCCACTTGGCTTATAAACTTCATGCGCCAAAAAAAATCGTGAGAAAAATTCGCAGACCCACCGAATTGACAAATTTCTTTATTTTCGTGAATTGTATGTCGTATTCTTGTAATTCGAATTTGAAAAGGCTATGACAAATCTACCCCCGTGATCTGATCACGAGGAAGAAACTCGATCGAGTTTGTAAGACGATCTTGAGAAATAAATTGTATTGTTAGCGACACAATGTCGACAGTGTCGATCGCTGAATCTCCAATAGAAACAATAGACATCTTCGCCTTGTTAATTAGAAGGATCATGAGTAGACGGTGAGTAATATCCTAAAACCGTAAGTTTTTCGTTATCAGCTTACACGCGCGTCACTTGAAACTTGTGTAATTAGACGTGCAAGTATGTACGTCAACTAGTCATGTTCTACGTAAACTGACTCGTTATTGTTCATCAAGGTGCGAATCACAAATAGTCGCGCGTTGTTAAAAGTGTCGTTAAGAACGCGGTTACCAAACCTGGTTTCGGACCTCCCTATTTTCCAGGCGGGTGTCTCAACCATCTCAATCAGTGTGATATATAGCAATATTTGTAACAATAAGTTCTTTACATATTAAATGTGCCAGTAATATCAAATGTGCTAGTAATATCAAATCGATGATCAAAAATTAATTTATAAAGATTATTATTTTAGTTAAATAATTGTGTTGCAAAGCCGACAGTATGATTGAGATAAATGTATTTAGGAACTTATATTATCCCAACATCTATAGCTTTGACCATACTTCATATACTTATGTGCTATATATATATATATTGATCATGTTCTTATTCTTGTTTTTTTTTCTTAAACATGATTGATGGATATAATTGCATATGCAACGAAAGAAGTTTGAAGATTTAATTGCTTTTGCACTTTTTTCAACAGGAGGGATTTAACTTCTTTTGCAATTAGACCTATTCTTTTTTCTTGATTTTATAGGATCTGTAACTGTTTCAGCACGTTAAAATGTTCAATTCGTAATCAAGAAGATAAAGAATCCAAGAATTCCAATATATTATAAAAGATTTTTTTATACGGCAGTTTTTTTACGGCTACTCAATTAAAATTCGAACCTATCTATCAGTTATATTTAATAAAAATGACGGATACTTTGTTCCAAAAATCAGCAAAATTATTTCTACAATTATAAAACTAATCAAGTTATCTTATTCTAAGTTTATCTTATTCTAAAAAGAAATTATATTTTTTGTATCATACTATACACATTTTGTTAACTAAAATAATGATCTTTTTTATTTTTCTAAAAACGTTCTTATTGACAGCTTGAGTGAGAAAATTATACATTTAAATTATACATTTTGCTCTCGCAAAAAAAATTTAAGTGGGGATAACGACTTTTGCTAATGGACTACTCAATTGGTGTAACGTAAATTGTTTTCGATAGTCTGACTTTTAGCTACGTTATTGCATAACAAAATTAACATGTTTTCCTATTATAACTCTTCAAAGGATTGCGTCGATTTCGTTCTCCGATAATTCGACAGTAATTAATTGGCATTTGCTTCGATGATTATCCTCGTTTGTTACCGAACGTCAAGACCCGGGCGTCTTCGACGTCAATTGCTCATACGACAGGAAATACACGCATTTCAGTGGGGTTTAATCATTAGAAAAGCGAAACTGCACACACGAGAGTGTGACCTAATCCTCAAGTTACCAGAATACAAATTGCCGTGTCACGAACGACCGGAGTATGTTATGGCTTCGCTCCTACACAGGATACGGTCATAGACGGACCAGTGAATCCTATTCGCGCGTCATTGACCGACTGACTGTTATGAGCGAATTTTTCCGCTCTACTTTAAATAAGGATTACTGCTGAATGAGATGCGGCCCGCTGAGTCGATACAGATTACAATTTCTGTGCGCCTTCGTGGAGCCGTATAATGAGAGAAATAATATCAAACTTTAATCACTAATATTAAATTACTTCGCGAGATGTAATAAATTCGACACATCGCATAGAAAAACATCTGCGTATATTGTTTCCAAAAAAAAAAGATGAATCAATCAATCCACAACAAACACGTAGATCTTTTTCATGTAATGTAATTTCATTGAATTTATTACATCATCTAATAGCTATAATTTAATGAGTGGTTTGCATCGATTTCCCAGCTCGTTTACGTAGGTATCGTGGAATCGATCGGCGTAATTATATCTGTTTTCCCATTATACTATATTCACGGCCAACAAGTTATTAACTGACGTAATTTTAATGTTAATGACAAGATACTGCGTATGAAAAATCGAATTTAGAAGGGGGATATAGACATAGCGAGGCAATAACTTTGCGCTGTCATAGAATAAAAATATATAAAACGCAATTGATTCAAGTCATAAAAAAAGTTTTAAAAAATAGAACTGAAAATGACGTGATTGAATTTTCGGAAAGAATTATTTTAATTTTCATAACTTTTGCAAAACAACGAGATACTATAATACAATAGCGCTGAAATGCCTGAGATAGTGTCATATTTTGAGACAAAAAATACGTTGAAATAATGATCAATCATGACAATCTTAGTCAAGAAAAAAAAGAAGCCGTAAGATTTTAAAAATAAATAGATCATCCTTTAAATATTAAAACGTAATTAAAAATTAAAATTTTAAATAATGCTTCGTTATACTCTTCTTGTTTTTCAACGGCGCTTAATCTTGGAAATATAAACTATCGTTTATCGTCCATAAAGACATTACGTTACACTGTATTTAACGAATTATCTTTATATCTCCGGGAATAATGTCGGGTAAATTTAGAAAAAAATCGATGTTAATGTTTCAATGTGGGCAGAAGTCACTGAACAGGGTTGACAATACTCTGAAGTTATTGCTCACGACCTAAAGATAATCGTCCTTGGGCAATTTATGCACTTGTATTACAAGGCTTAGGCCTTGATATGTAATGTCGAACAAAATTTCCATATGCTTCGGCATATATTGAATTTTGAAGATTGCCCGCAACTTGATTCGAAATTAAATTTTATGAAACTAAGAAAGGGATTAGAGTAACAATTTTTAAATGCAAGATTGTATTGTATAACGAGATTATATATATATATGTGTGTGTGTGTGTGTGTGTGTAAGTAATAAATCTAAAATATAAATATAATATATATAATTATATGTAAGTAATCAGTCTATGATAAACATGTAAAAATATATAACTTGAATTATGAAAATTTAGGAATTATGGATGAAAAAGGAAGTAATATATTTAAAAAATCAAGCTAACCATTTTAGCTACTAATTATTTTATTAAAGCTTAGATTTTGAAGGATCCTACAACAGACGAAAGATAAAAATTTGTTCAACATCGCTTCGTAATCCGCAGGATATGCGTAATCGATAATCAGGTCGGCGTAATTACGCCTGGCATAACGCTCTAATGGACGACGTACAAAATGAAAATTGGCGGAATATTGTTACTGAAGTAAATTATTGCTATCATCGAATTACCGCGCATAAAAGCGAGTTGTCTGTAAGCCGCGAAAATTGTGAGAAACGGAGGTGGTTGTGCAACTCTCGCACGTAATGCGTCGTAAATCCATGAATGAACCAGACTTCCGTATACATCAGCTGTTGATTGATGACGTAATCGATGTCTATACATACGATGCCACGTGTCTAGCATCACTTGTAAAAAAAGATATCGAACATTAATTGTGGCATACCATCGATATTTTTTTATTTCTTATACAAATAAATAAATGAAAATGAGCGAAAGAAAGAGTAATAGAAAGAGTAAGAAATGCCTCTACATGTTCCTGTCTTACAATTAGAGAGTCGAAAAAAGAAAGCGCAGCAGAGTTTAACTCGATTTGTAACAATACCATGAAAGATAAAGCAATTCGGATACTTTGGAAGACAAATCTTCCAAATTACTAAGCAAGGCAAAAACAAATCCAACTCTCTAAGTTCTTTGTAAGCCTCACTCTTTTGGAATGAGATTTTACACCAAAGAATTTAGAGAGAAGATCTAGCAAAATTATAAATAACATCTTATACAGCACAGACCTCCAAAGTACTTTCTAAAAATATCTAAAGTTATTTATAAAAATATCTTGAGAACATTCTATGTCCAAAGACGTCCCCATGACGTCCCTCGAATAAAATATGTAGGATAATGCAATGCACCAGTCAAATGTACCAAACCGATGATATAACTGTTGACCTTTGGAGATTCCAAGGCAACGTTATCAGGATTTCAAATATGAGGGCGATTCTTGGAAATGTTCAGAAAACGTCCTACAGCCGTTTTTTAAATAAAGTGTGTTATGTGAGACAGTGCAATGTGTCGAATGCACTGAAACGATGACGCAAGCCTTGACGATCGAGTATTTCGAGATAACGTCATCAAGATTACAAACGCGAGTGTGGCTCTTCGTGGATTCTTGGAAATAACCGAAAGCGTCGGTGGAAAACTCGAAGCGGGGGCGGCTAGATCCACTGGATAACACTGCGCGGTTCGAACGAAATAATGACGCAACTGGTGAACGATAATAAGTCCGAGTGACGTCACGTTAGGAACTCGGAGCGCGAAAGACGACCCTTCCAGACAGGTTCAAGGGATGGTGCGCTATTGGTATACAGGTACTGGAGTGGCGGTACAGCCGCGAGGAGTTCGCGGACGGTCTGACTGGGAAGTCGCCGGCTGATCGATAAACTTGCGCTTGCTCCCTCCGGCGCGCCGTCGACACACACAAACAGAAGGCTCATGTGTCCCCAAACTAGTTTTAAGGAGGCATGCATGCACGCGAGCACGATCGCGATCAGTCGCGATGTAACCGCAGCGTGAAACGGCCTCGCACCAGGCCACCGGGTGACCACCATCAGATGCTGGACGTAGGCTGATCTCGCGCCGAAAAAACGATCACCGGGCCACAGAGCCGGCGATCAGCGACCTGGCTAGACGGGGGGGACTCGACGGGAGACCTCGTGGGAACGTCGGCGGTCCGTTTAGGACCACGCCTGAGGATCCAGGTACGAGCGAAGGGAGCAGCCATTCGAAGAAGCCGGAATTTGGTCTGGTCCAACCGGACGCTTTGATGAGGAGAGAAAAATACGAGTTATTTTAGAGACGAGATTTGTGAATCACATTTTATTCCGCGAAAAAGTTTCCAAAGACTACTATTCAAAAAGTTTAGATCGATTCTCGTGCATTGCTAAGAGTTTTAAGTCATGAATAGATTGTAACAGCTGACGCAAGGTACAAATTAAATCTTATGCGATCGAGATTCGAGAGGATCTAAATAAAGCAAAAATAATTGAATAATTAATTTGATAATAGTCTATTTTCTAAGAATTTCGGAAAATTATTTAAAAAAAAAAAGTAAATATTAACCAAAAATTGATATTCGCTCCGAAATTTTTTTAATTGGAATTCATGGACGTAATGTACTTTAATGTATTTTTGCTTAAAGTTAACATATACTTGAACGATTTTTTTTTCATTTTAAAGGCCAAAATCCGAGTTGTTACAATAAACCAAGGTGTTACATACTACTCATGAAATAAGATTAAGTAATTATAATAAGATTATGCAACTTAAAATTATGTGAGGTTGCGAAAAACATGTGTTATAAACAATTTTGCACAACGTAACTTTAAAACAAATGTTCGAATTCACTGGACTTGCCAGTACTAACTAGAGTTAAAATAAAAAAAAAATTCCGACTAATTTTTGTCAGGTATTAGAAAAATCAATTGAATCGGTATCGAACCAAAGTCATCGAATTCCTATGGACCTGCTCTCTTCGAGACATCATCTCGTGATGAGCTGAGCGCACAATTATGGATCCAATTCGACGATACGAGACATATGTCCGATATCGTTATCTCGGACATACAGACAGCCGCTGATAAGTTTCGTCGTTGCGAAAATCTCTTCTAGAATCGGAACCGCGGGAAAAAAGAGAACGGTCAGTAGCGTGAAACCGGAAGGACGAAGGTCGGGCTCGCGTCTTCGAGAACGTAGTTTTCCCGCCACGTGTCGACCGCTACCTGTTCGTCGACGATTCAGGGAATCCCGATGAACGAAGGACGCGAAATGCAGATAGCATCTCTAAGCGAGCTCCGTCGAAGCTCTCCGACGAGGAACGACTTGATTGCGCGTAGGTTAAGGTCACGGGAACTCGTGCAATTCGCGTGATGCAACGTGCGTTTCCGGGCCCGGTCAATGTGTAACGCAAGGTGCAGCTGATCAGACAATGAATATCAAATGCGATCGCGTAGTCGATCGTAGCACGGGTGACTCGACATTGATCTGTATCGATTAGAGAGTGACCTAGTTGTATCTCGATTGTCTCGATTATAAAACCCGCTTTCATGCATGCTCTTCGTTTGAGAGAAATTCAAATATGCCACCTCTGCAAAAAGTAAACCGATCAAGCGGGGTCAGTATAAGGAAAGAATTTGCTGAAGTATACAAAAGTTTAAGTAAATACAGATTTAAAAACAATTTTATTGTATCATCAAAATAATTATATAGAAACTCAAGTTCATACATGCAAAAAAATATTTTGCTGCTCCAGCTGGAATTATCTGTTTTTTTTTTGAATTTTGTAAAGAATTATATATATATATATATATATATCATACGCATAGAATTTATAGCACTATATTCTAATAATATATACAAGAAAATTTAGGTCTTGTAGTCAAATATGAATCATTGCTAAATATGAATCACAGTCACAGTCATCTAATTGAACGTTAAGAAAGACTTTGTTGATAAATTTGACAAATGGTTCAGATATAAATTCTATCTCTGCCATCTATATTGATTAGATACAAAACATACCTAATATCGCAGTGCTTGTTCATTTATTTATTTCAGCTAATTTTTCGTGTCTAGATAATTTTTCGATATAACTGCAAGATCATTTTTTTCAATGTACAGTGTACATTAATATTGCATATCATAAACGTTAAATTGCAACGAATGTTGTAACAATTGCGAAATATAAATTTAATGTTAAAAAGAACATTCACACTTCAACATTCAATATCGCAACGTCTCAGCAACGTTTTTTCAATATTCTGTGCAGTATGGGAAGCATAAGAAGCACTGATGCAAAAAGTTTTGATATTCTAATAACCAGCTTGAGCATTCTACAAATTATTTTGATAATCCAGTAAAAATATTTTTAGATCTATACATGGAAAGAACGGTTTTATTAACGTATCTAAAAATGTATAAGTTAGATATACATCTGAAAATAAATTTCGTTAAACCATTAAAATATTTATGTAGGACGCTCAAGCTGCTTGTTAGAATGTCAAAACTTTTTGCGGCATTACTTATTATGCTGGAGTATCCTACATATGTATAATAATTTTGATAGAACAACAAAATTATTTTCAGGTCTAGCTAAATTTTTAGATACTTCAGCAAAACAATTCTTTCCATTAGAAATCAATGGAAAAAGTTGTATATTCCTAATCTTAAAAGAACGAATAAACATGAAGAATTATAGAAGAACGAATAAACAATAATTAGTATTAGACAAAGAGGTGAAAGAGCAACTTAACTTTAAAATAATATCTCCCACATCCTAGAAAATTGCATATTCAATTTCGATAGAAATACAATTTCCATATGTTTGTTTATACAGTCGTAATACTTTAGCGCATAGGATTTTTTCTTTTCTTCGAATCGCAAAATGACATTGACTGTTTAAAAATATCAACATTACAATTAAGATTACAAAGGCAATGTTGCTCAATCGAACGGTCGCGCACGCGATTTGGCCTTAATCAAGTCGCTCTTGCGGTTTCAATTTCCACACGTAAGGTCACCGCACGACTGAATATTATCATCGTTGATGTACTCTTCTGCGGCGATATCGAAGTGCGCTCGTGGATTTTATGTACACATACAAGGCTAAACATCTGGCGATCTCGCGTAAAAATTAAACTGGTTTTAATAGACAATTGGATTTTTATTGAGATAAGAGGAAAATTATATAGAGAATATGAATAACTTATTAACGTTGTCATCCATGCAAATTAATTTAATCACATACATATGGAGCATACACGATACGTGGAATTATCGCAAAACGGATTATCACGATTCCTTCCGAAGCGGAACTCAAATAAGAGGAAATTGAGCATTACGTGTTAATTAATGACACACGTGATGTGGTGATACGTCTATTTGCATGATACACGCGATAAAGACTCATAAAATCACGGAACCATGTAGTCGTGTTGTCATCTCACATATGGTGATACACGTTCATTCGATGTCATTTCGCAAGTGCAATTTAAAAATTTGGCAATTAATTTAAGAATAAAATCAATGTCGCAGGAATAATCGATTTTTCTAGTAATTTAAATTTAATTTACAATAATCACAGAAAACTTGCAGGTGAATCTTTAAAGTGACGTAAAATTTGTGTGGCTAAAAAATCAGCCGAAAATTATTTGCGTGGAAAGAATGATTTTACTAAAAAAAACCCAAAATTTGGCTGGATACACACCTAAAAATAATTTTGTTGGAAATTTAATTGGTTGCTAGAATTTTTTCAAAATTTTTTCCAGTTATATTGCTTACTATTTTTTAGTTTCCAATAATTATTTTTGATGGTCCAACAAAATTAGTTTTATATTTGTATGTATCTGTATGTATATAGCAAAATTTTAGACCTTTCAGCAAAATCATTCTTTCCGTGTGGCAATGTATTTATATACTGATTTTTCAAGACATCAAAACGATTTTAACGCTTTGAACGTGTCATTTTTTTTAATTAGAAAATTATGTTTAATATGCTTATCGAGTAGGCTTTTGAGATTTCTTTAATAATGACTTTAACACGGAAAAAACGGTTTTACTGAAGTATCTAAAAACTTAGCTAAAGACCGATCTGATTTCATTGTATCTTCAAAATAATGATGTAGGTCGCTCAAACTGGTTGCTAAAATCAAAACTTAAATCAAAATTTATAGCATTGCTTATCATGTGATTTCTATAAATATTTTGATGGTCCAGTAAAATTATTTTCAGATCTGATCTAGTCATTTTTTTTTTTACTTAAATTCTTTCGGTGAAAAAACTCTGATTAAGCCGAGTACGTGACTAATTTTGCAGTTAAAATAACATGACAATTATTTGACAGTGTCCTCAGGCAAGAAGAGGTTGCTTACCTTTCTTCGATTGGCACGTCGCTGGATCATTCACATTTTGATTTTCGCCCTAATTAACAACAGTTCCTGAACGAATCTAATCAGCGAGAAAAAGAGAGAAAGAGAGAGAAGAAAAAGATAGTCACTCTCGGCATAATTACGTAATTTACATTATTTGTGTCCTAAAATACAACCGCCGCCGCCGCCGTCGTCGTCGTCGTTGTTGGCGACGCGAGTCTTATCATTCTCAAAAGAGAATGGCTGTATATTCGCGGCAGCGAGTATCACGCAGCCTTCAGTAGGATGATGATAGAGGGCCAGGTGCATCAACATCCGGTACGAGTGCCGCCCGACAAGTCGCAGCCGCTCCAGAATGCCAATACCATCAAGTTCGAAAAGTACGTTGGAAAGTATTGTGCACAAAGTTTTCGGTCTTTCGATCTCGTGAAAAAAGTAACCCAATATGTCGGGTTGAAAAACGTGAATTTACGTCTCGAGCACCGAAAAACGGCGAGTAATAGTGCTTTCGGCATGGGACTGCGAATTAAAGAAGTATCATGTGACGAAATTAATAATGATTAAATTTATTCACTTGCGTGCGATTTACGATGATCGATCACTCGCACACCACGCGTTCCTCATTCATTCGATATCGATTCATTTCACAATTCAAACTAAGGCTTCGACATTTGAACTTTGAAGTTTCGAATTAAGCATTAAAATCATTAAAATTTTGAAGCTTCAAAATTTCTATATACTTCAATCTTCGAATCTTCGAAAAATGAAAATTGTATAATTATTAATTTAATATAGCTAATGGTAACACAAATACTTTCATTGAAAAATGTACAAATATATTTACGAATATATTTTCATTTTTTTCTATTAGTACAAATTTATTTCTTGAAGTTTTGAAATTAACTTCGAAGATACGAACTTTAAAAGTTTGAAGTTAACTTTGAAGCTTTGAATTCTTTCCAAATCTCGAATCTTCAAAGCTGTCAAAAGTAACAATCCTAATTCAAACAACTTCTTTTCTGTTTAATTTTATATCGTCAAAAAGGAGTGAATTTTTTCAAGCTGATTACACGATTTTAATTTTTAACGCGATGATCGATGATCATAAATATTTTTAAAGATAAGATACAATCTTTTTTTAATTTTCAAGTAAAAAAATTCAAGTAAGTCAAATCGAAAGAAATACAGGCGCAATGTGTAATATTTGACTATTTCGTTATCAGACCGCAGATTGGCATTTGACAATTTTATTCCAGAGTAATAATGGTCCGAGCTTATCGTCCTTTCATACGTACAGATTAGTAATATTGTAGCAATATTGCAACTTTTCAGCAATATTGCAGTGCTCATTGCAAACATTACAGCAATAAGCTGTAAGCTTCCGTGCTGTATAAATATTGACGTTAAGAGTTAATGAGACTCTTCTCTTACAGATAAAGAGAGAGAGAGAGAGAGAGAAAGAGAGAAATCCAATTTACGCTGTTAGATATCAAAGAAGTAATGGTAATTCAATTCTTTGATAGTGTTTTGTTATTTTTAACTTTCATGTGTTTCAAAATATAAATATTCCATTTCTATTTCAGAAATAAATTTCTGAATTTCCTTATTTCAGAAAAATAAATTTAATGTTTCAAAGTAAATAACATCTATATTAACATATGCACTTAATAAATAATAAATTAAATTTGAGTCAAATTACTACATTATACTTAATACATTTTGTTGAGTTAAATATTTCATGTAGAATTCAGAATCCGACAGTAAAATAGCTCTATCCGCCGAACTGATGATTACATCCTTTTTCTGAGATAATAGATGGTTAGAGAAGAAATTAAAAAATCTCCTCGAGAAACTAGGTTTATGATACCAGTCAAAAGTTTATCTTTAATGGACATTTCAAGAAAATTTAGTGAATTATCAGCAACCTCCAGGGTGAGTTTTAGATGCGGGTGGAACGAATTAAAACATTCCAGAAAAGTGTCAACCTCAGATAATGGAACCGCAGCGCATAGGTCATCGACATATCGATAATAAAAAAGAACATGATCCTTAAACATACTCAATGCTATCTTCTCTAAACTTTGCATTACCAAATCAGCAATAATAGGTGATAAAGGAGAGCCCATAGGCGTGCCAAAATTCTGTTTGTAAATAATATTATCAAATAAAAAATAAGTGGAATCTAAAATTAATCGAACTGAAATCAAAAACTCCTTTTTAGGTAATTTACATTTTTTTGAAATAAAATTCCAGTTGTCATTGTTCACACGACATGCGATTATGATGTATTTTTTTCACAATCAACATTATTAAATCATGGTAACGTCTTTATATTAAGTAAATATCTAAAGAGGGTCTAATTCAAAGACCGAAACATGTAATATTTCGTTTTTTAATATATAATTTAATTTGTTATTGACTCTTATATGTTCTATTATTACATTGAATTCTAAGAACTCAACATTGTTTGTTGAGTAATGTAATCTCTAGTCCAAAACCAAGATTGTTTTATATACGTACAAAGTATAAAAGTTGTATCAAAGTAAATATTATTATGAGTTGACATTAGAAATCGGTAACAAAATTATAATTTTCCAACTTTTTTTCGTTTTTGGCATAAAGTCAACCGGTTTGGACTACATTATCGTTTATACTTTAATTGTGGAAAAAAATTCTTTAATCTTTATATAAGGCAATCAGAAAAATACTTATTTAAAAAATAATCAGTAAAACAGACGACTTTAGGACCTCTTTAATCAGCGGAGATCTTCCTTCTGTCGGCAGTGAGCAATGTAAGGAGCCCCTGCTTTTGGAGAAGCAGACCTCCCACAGGATGACACCAACCGATGGCCGCTCGCGGACCACCTCCGAGTCAAAGGATACCACAACCACCGCCACCACTACCGCTAGCACCGCAACAACCACCAATGGACAAGCAGCAGCCACGAATACCACCGGTGGACACGCCACCGATGACTGCCTTGAGGTAACTATCTTTGACGAAGGCATCGACGGCGGCCGATTGCCGGACGTCGTCGCCGAGAGCAAGATCTACGGTGTGACCGAAGAGGATGAGCCGCTCGAGTCGTACTTGGCGATTACCATCCAGGTCTTTATACCCTTCCTAATCGCCGGCCTGGGCATGGTGGGCGCCGGATTAGTCCTCGATCTCGTCCAAGTACGAATCTTCTTTACTCTTATCATAATAATAAACTCTCACGTGTGTGTGTGTGTATCTTTAGAAATATCTTATAATATGTGTATTAAAAAATATTTTGATTAAACCAACAAAATGTACCAAAATGCAGAGTTGAGTAGTGCTAAATTAAAAAGATAAAAGTTAAGTTAAAAAAAGTCAAAAAGTTAATTAATTTTAATTTAACTTAGTTATATTTTAGACTTTTAACTTTTTAACTTTTTTTTTTAATTTAGTTAAATTTTATTGGTAACTATTAACTTTTAATTTGATTTCTTTGAAGTCAATCCTTAAATATAATGCGAGAGGCTAATGGGTATAAATTTAGTAATTTTATACTGTATAATCCTTACTTGTGAACAAAAATAATCTGATTCTTTAATAAATAAGCTGTGAGAAAAGAAAAATACGAAAAATTATGTAAAATAGTCAAATTTTTCTTTTCTTTTTTTTTAGTTGTTCAAATCAATTTAACTTTTAACTTTTTAATTACTTTTTTTAAACTTAACTTTTAATTCAATTAATTTTATTATGGATTAATTAATATTTTAATTAAGTTAAATTTTTTCAAGGCTGTTAACTTTAACTTAACTTAGTTAAAAAAAAAGTTAACTCACCCAACCCTGCAAAAATGGCATTTTTATTGATACATTTTGTTGATACGTCGATCCAAATAATTTTTTCAGTAGGAACATCCAAGCAATCAATTCAACGACACGCGATCGTATTCTTAAAAGAAACGTGTCTAATGCTGATTTCTATCAACGTAGATTAACTTTAATCGCAGTTTAATTAACTTTTTATCTTTTTCTCAGGACTAGAAAAAGATAAAAAAGTAAATTAAACCAAAATTAAAGTTAATCTGTATTGATAGAAATGAACATAGCTCGTATAATTGTTTTTATTCTTAATGTCGAATATTTTAAATAAAAATACGCGATTGGATTGTTTGAAAAAATAAAATTACTTAAATTGATTTCAACATTCAATCTAGATCTAAATTCAATCTTTATTTGATTCATTAATTAATCATTTCATACATTGAAGATCATCGACTTGAAATTAATATGGTATTATAATATTGACTGCATTTATTAGGTGTTAAACTTAATTCCTGCCGTTTTTCGTCTCCAAAATTGATTTGTTTCGAAGGGAAGATAAATGAATACCTTAATCAAAGTAATTTCCCCCATTTTCTACTTTATCACTAATTAATAATACTTTATTAATAATACTTTAATTAAGGTATTTCCCTTCGAAACAAATCAATTTTGGAGACGAAAAACGGCAGGAATTAAGTTTAACACCTAATAAATGTTCGTGTTCTTTTGCAGCACTGGGTAGTCTTTGAGAAAGTAAATGAGCTCATGATTCTGGTACCTGCACTTCTAGGATTGAAAGGTAATTTAGAAATGACTTTGGCGTCGCGTCTTTCTACTCAAGCGAATCTCGGACATATGGATATGCCAAAGGAGCAATGGCATATGATCATAGGGAATCTCGTTTTAATACAAGTAAGTAACAATCATTAATTCGACCGAACTGAAAAGTGGACTAATTCTCAGTAAACACCAACTAAAAGAAACGTAACATTAATGTTATAACTTCATACTCTTTCAATAATGTATGATAACTATTGTATAAATATATATGTTATATTTACATTGTTGAGGATTATATTATAACATCGATGCTATCTTAGTTGGTACCCAGTAAACACCAATTAATATCAATGTTATAATTTTACATTTATCAATGTAATAATTACATTGTTAAGTTTGACGCAAGATGATTGGTTCGCGTCTTTTCAATGATGATCAACACAAGTACAATTTGTTACCTATTTCGCGAGCCTTCATAGTATACTATGGTACAAAATAATACAAGAATTGTCAACAGATGCGTCAGATGCGTTATTCCGACACACATGAAATCTCAAAGCAAACCTCGGACGCTCCTCCTGCATTCAGCCGCGAAAGTTTACTTTCGTGAAACTGGTTCTAACTAGATGTTCCGTAATTAAACGGTATTTGCCGTTTGTCATACGACTTCTAACTTAATTCCGTTCGAATACATTGCGAAATGCCGTATTAGCTCGCTTTGGCGCCGTGTATTTTTCCTCCTGAAACCTTCTTCTGCAGTTCGTCCATCCGTTTCTTTCAATTCCTCTAAAGAGTACGCGTGTTCGTCACGTCTCTAATAACTATGAGACGCAACGCGCGGAAAAGTTCTGCGCTATTAATCATCCGGCTTCTTATCTCATCTAGTATCCTTATCATCTAGTGTAAATATATCCATGAAATTTAGTGTTTTTTAAAATTCAAGTTTAGCCCTTTATATTTAATTTTAGCCTCGCAAATTTCCAGCTGCGATAATGGAAATGAAATTACTGTAATCCGCGAATCCCAATAAATGTGCCAACAGAATCATTATCGTTCATCCTCGAAATTGTAAATTGGCAGAAAATACTGTGGGAAACAATGCAGGCAATTTAATCCGTGGTTAACGGCTAATTGTGAAACAGAGCGGCGGTATCATTTTGGGAAAGCAAACAATGTTTCTCTTAGCCGCTCGATTTAGTGAATCGTGTTACACGCGCATTACCTGTCTTATCATTGGCGCCACGATTTTATTTTATTATGTATTTAACACTGACGATGATAGACGACGGCCTTCAGGAAGCCGACTGTTTGCCATACAATCCCTCGTATAATAAGCGAACGCGAGTTGTTACTTCACGAGACACGCCGCGCGATAAACGACACGTATGCACGGTGTCGATATCTACACAGAAATAACGATTTTGCTAACGTATCTAAACATGTTTTTTTTTTAACTAAATACAGGTTTAAAAATAACTTTTTGTTGTTCCAAATAATGATATAGGAATGTTTAAACATAATAAGCAACATTGCAAAGTTTCAACATTAGCAACCAACTTGGGAGTTCTATATAATTATTTTAATGGTCCAACAAAATTATTTGTAGATCTGTATAAGTTAATGAACCTCACACTAATTATATGGAAAATTATATGGAAAATTGGGTTCCGGTCAAATGATCATTCAACTCTATTACTGTTTGTTCAGGTTCTGATTAAGTTGTCATTGAGCAGTTCTTATCAGGCGCGTCTGTTCGTTTCTTGTTCAGGCGCCAGGATGATATCAGATAATTCTTATTAAATGCATCCTGTCATTACGTGCTCAGGTCCTGATAAAGATGATTTCAGGAAAACCACTTCAGACAGACCTAGCTTACTCTTACCTGATTGAGTCCTGATCGTGCATCAGGCATGCCTGAGAGAAATCTCAAATTTCTGTTCGGGGAATTTTCACATAATAATGTAGTTTATAATGTGATGAACAAAAGATATCATAGACAAGGTTCAATAAAAAAAGTTTTTTAGCTGTGGTGTATCAAAGGTACCTTGTGAGCATATATATATATTTTTGATATTTTTAAATATTTCAACAAAAAAAAATCGTTCTTTCCGCGTATGATGATTAACATATTTTTAACTTTCCATATATCCAAGCAGAACAACAATTATGATGTCAAAATGACTCGAAAATGATCACTAAAAGTTATTTTTCAATCATTTCCGATTCATTTTAATGTCATTTTGACGTTGTTCTGCTTGGGTAATATAGTACAGGATCCTTCTAAGTATTTTAGAAAAACCAATTTACGTGTGTACAGAATCAGCAGACATTTATCATTTCCGACGATAAAAACAATTTCCCAAATATGAAAAAAAATCACCGCAGTGATTGTGCTAATGAATTTGCAATTATATAATGTATTTAAAACTAAGTTTTCAAATAAAATTTAAAAAATTAACGCACTCGAACAAGTATGCTAGTACAATGTAGATTATACAATTCTTCGAATTATCAGTCTATAAACCTAAAATTTTTTTCTTTAACTTGTGGCTGGCTGTTCTTTCAATTTTTTTTCCGGCATTGGGAATATCTTGCAAAATATCTATCAAATTGAATATTTGTTAACGCACGATGAAATTGAAATTTGTTGAAAATCTCAATTTTTTTTGCTAATTTTCAACATGATATATCTCAGTAACTGTAACTAAGAAAAATTGAAGAAACAAGCAAAGGAATTTAATTTCTCTTCAGTCATCAAGTTTTTTCGGGAGGTCCGTTACTCGGGACTAAAGGTCACTTTAATCGTGCGCAGTGTCAAGCGATAGTGGTGGGATTCCTGGGTTCTGTGGTGGCTATCGTGATGGGTGCCTTCCGTAATGGCACGGTTTCCCTGGACCATGCTTATCTACTATGCGCCAGTAGTCTGGTCACTGCATCCCTCGCTTCCTTCGTTCTGGGCCTTATTACCGCAGGCGTCATCGTCTTTTCCCGTCATTGCCATATCAATCCGGACAACGTGGCCACGCCGATAGCCGCCAGTCTCGGCGACATCACATCGTTGGCTCTCCTCTCATGGATCGCCACCATACTCTATGAATGCATAGACAAGCAGGACTGGGTGGCACCTCTCGTCATAGCCTGTTACGTCCTCGTGACGCCGCTCTGGGTATGGATCGCCAAGAAAAATAAATATACCAACGATGTGCTCTACTTCGGCTGGACACCGGTCATGGTGGCCATGTTAATCAGCAGGTAAAAAAAGTTTCTCAAATTCTTCGAAATTTTTCTGAAGCTTGACAGTAAATAAATCATAATATATAGCATACAAATGTTGAATCAACATATCAGAAATGTTGAATTATAACATTGCAAATGTAATTAACATAGCGAATGTACATCAACATAGTGAAATATAGATTCAACGTTAAAAAAATATTTATACTTTTAACATTTAACATTGCAATATTCTCACGAAAGTATTTTGATAATCCAACAAAATTACTTTCAGATCTGTACGATCTATATAAATTTTTGGATACTTTAGCAAAATCGTTTATTCTGTATTATTAAATCTTTATATTAATCACATTTTTTTTTATCTATCACATTTCGAATATGGCTCAAAGAAAAGAAGAATTTATAATTGCGAAATGTTTCATTATAGCTGCGGTGGTCTTATATTGGAATTTATGGTGTCGCGCTTCGAGAACCTGACAGTGTTCCAGCCGGTTATCAATGGCGTCGGCGGAAACCTGGTGGCCGTTCAAGCCAGTAGAATATCAACGGCGCTTCACAAACAAGCCGAACTCGGCACACTTCTAATCCCACCGGGTTACACGCATCCCGTCATCTTCATCACCCCAATTGCCAATTTTTTCGGGAAAGGTATCTTCTTTCGTGTTTTTTTTTTTTAGTAAACAAGATTTTTCGTGATTTTTCATTGCCTCGTTTCTTCAGGTATGCACGCTAGAACCACGAGAGTCCTGATGACAATGGTGATACCGGGCCACGTCATTTTCATTTACCTGATCAATTATATGAAGGACGGTAACACATCGATGACTCCGCTCTTCGTCTTCGTTTACCTCTGCGCAGCGATGCTGCAGGTCGCAGCTCTCCTCTACATCGCCTATATAATGATCCATTGGATGTGGAAGCGAAAGATCGATCCCGACAACTCGGCGATTCCATATCTGACCGCGATGGGTGATTTGCTCGGGATCAGCCTGCTGGCGATTGCCTTCCAATTTCTGTACCTGGTCGGAGATCAAGATTTCGACGCGCCCTGACCGTAGTAAGATTAATTTTTGTATAACCATGAACGGAACTAATAGCAATCATGACAATTTCAACATATTATTCCCTTAAAATGACATAACTGAAAAAACGTGATTCTTGAATTTACCATAAATGAATTCAGTAAACATTGTTATCATCAAAAGTAAACTAATTAACTTTATGAAAAATCGTCAAAATCGTCACAACTCAAAAAGGATAGTTTAAAAAAGATTTCATCAAAATTGTCACAATTTGAAAGGGTGATTTTTAAGAGTTCTGAAAATGACCAAAATGATTATTTTAAGGATATATTCTTTTTGCTGATAATATTTGATTGGTCAAGAATTTTTTACCAAGTTAAAAATAATTTTTTCTTTCTCTTTTCTGAAAAATTTAATTCTTTAAGTTAAGTCACTTTTGAAGTAAGGGAGCGATATGCTAATTTTATTATTTGTATAAGTCTTAATTACATTATAATTAAAATTACCTTCCTCAGAATATAGTATGATATTAAATCATTATAACAACATTAAAAATTAATTACGTCGGGGAACATACACGGTGATAAAATTTCTATCTATTTCCTTGAACTTCCATGGTCATAATGATTGAAAAATTGGTATATCGCATGCTCGACCGATGGAACGACTTACAAATGCTCGAACAAGGCGTGTTGTATTTTTCTTTTGCAGGAAGTCGCAAATTATAGCGTTCTCCGGCAGGCGGGACGCACAAGTTAGAACTGTCGGACCGAAAGGGCATTCCTACGAGGCTGTGGTCGTTTGAAAGTATATTCCACCAAATCTAATCATCGATCTGCCAGTCCGCCGACGAGTCCCATGGACGGACGGTCGCAATGGTATTACTTGGCAAAGTATTAATAATTTCACCACTTATATCCTGCGTTCGCCAAGAATTAATTAAAGAGTAGGTATCTTGGGACTGGTTGTTTGCATTTCGTGAAAACCGGTCAAATGATTTTCATTATCGATGCGAATGTCTCAATACTTAATAATTCATAATTTTTTTTTTTAAACGCAAAATATAAGTGGCCGATCATTTGTACCTTGTCAAGTCGAGCGGGCGCGTACTCAGGTTTCAATTAGCTACTAATATATCAGAAGATAATACGAAGTCGGTAGCACGTGGCAAATTAATTCGTCGACTATCTAAAAATTGTATTTTAACGGAACGTGGAATTTTTCTTCCTAACTCTGGAATTCAAGCCTAAAGTTTGAGAATTAATTTCTTCCAGAAAAACCGATAGAAGCATTTAATTAACAGCGATAATTTTGCGAATATTCCTCGACATATATATAATAAAATATCTCTCGAACGAGTAAAGCCTAAGATTCGCTAGTCTCGAAACTTAAGGATTTCAAGATCCTAAAAGCATAATTCTATTCACTGTATGACAAGTAAAAAAATTGAAGGTTGTCGTATTTTCCGATTAGAAATAATTTACGAAGTTACATATTAAACTACAACCGCGAGAATTGCGATAGCAGTTTAATGTTAGGACTCCGTAAGACCAGAGTTCGTTCATTCTTGGGCTCACAGCGAGAATTCTGGCTCTTCCACGGAGCGCGCTTAAATAAAAGCACGTGTAGTCGTAATACCAACGCGTATGTGTCTTCGAATAGTTGCCTTCGTATACGACGAAATTTAGATAGGTATTTAGAAGCTGCCACACGACCTATTTTTGGAAGCTTTGGAGAAGCTCTCGGAGATTTTACTCGAAGCCCTTGAAATACCTGCCGCATAAAGTCCTACTTTAGCTCTTACGATGCGGTTTAATGGGAATTTGGTCTTCCTCGCGCAAATAATTCCGAGATTTTTTAATCTTCTGAATTGTTTATCAATAGTATGCGGAACGTCTTTCGGTTCTAGAAAATAATTCTTATAGAAATTTAATACTAGTACCGATCACTTGATTACTTATTTTGAGCATTAAGAATATTGTTAATATAGTACTTTAATACTAAAAATAAGTGATTAATTGTTCAGTATTAGTATTAAATTTTTTATAAGAGACTCGCCTAAAAGATAGGATACATTATCAGGCTTATAGAAGTCGAGTCGATGACGTGAGTTATTGTCAGTACGAGAGCCAGCAGAATCTCGTGCGATAGAGCGATAAAAATTCAGTAAACACCGTAACATAAGCTAACAGTAGCATAACATCAATGTCACAATTTATTCGCACTTAATGTTATAAGTGTAACATAACACATGTGTTACATAACAATTATAATGTGAAATTATAACATTCTCATACAGCATAAATTATTCTAGTACTATTGCAGTAATACTGAAACGTTACAACAATGTTGTTGCAAGCCTCTAATACTGTAAGGGATTGATGTTATACGTTATTGTTGGTTGTGGTGTTTACTGCAAAATACATTTGCTAGTACTGTCGCTTAACGAATGTATTTTTTTAAAATTAGGAGAAAATATTGGGATATAAACGTGATGATTGCAGCTTATCGTCTAAAGCTGGCATAGGAACGAGTAAGCAGTTATTAAGAAATTAATTCACGAATTTCACTCGATCGACTGCATCGAGGTATCGTTAGCCGATTGGAAAGTCCGTGCGACAAGGATGAACCTTGGCGAAATTGTACGCGAATAGCATCGCTTCGAAGAGGAAACACAATGGGCGATTGAAAGCCGAATACATTTACAAGTTAACGTCTCGTTGACGATTATCTCGGACATTATGTGAATGATTTAACCCTCCAGAGCTAACGCCAAAATCGGTAACACACCGATTACTGAAGCTGAGTCTAATAAACCTATTTAATTGATGTTAATTAATTCTCTAACGGTAAAGTTTTTTCAGAACATATCCAGGAAGATGGAATCGAATCTTTCTCTGTTTGTTCATTTATTTAATCAATGTACAAAATTTAATCAATGTAAAAAATAACGTGAAATTTCTTTCTCTGTTTATTTATAGATAAAAAAAATTTATAGATGAATTTATAGACGAAAAAAAATGAAATACGCTCATAAGCGAAGAAAGTCATTTGAACAAAGCGGATGCTCTGATGTCTAAAAATATTTTTGAATAAATTTGAATACTTGAAATAATTGCAGTAAAACAGAAAACGCTTTGACTGAAGACGTGGGATTACAGTAATATTGCAGCAATATTACTTTGAAAGATTGCAATGTTTCATAAAACATTGCTGCAATATTATAGCAATTTTTAGAGAAATATTGTAGATATATTGCTGCAACATTATGTAATATTTCGATAATTAATCCAATTTTATTAATTGCTAAAATATTATTGCATTGCTTAGCATGATATACCAAAATACACACGATAAAGTTATAATAAAAAAACATTTGGCGGCTTAGAAAGCACATCGCAAAGATCTTGGAAATTCCCAGAAGACTCACCAAAGTTTTGCATATGCCTTCTTACAGACTCGGATGTTTCTTCTTACGAGAAGCTTTCATCTCGTGGCGAGATCACGTACTTACGTGTTGAATTATAATATTACAGCAATATATTACAATATTTCCTATAAAATATTAAAATTACGATATTTCGCGATATTGTAATATTTCCAATAAAGTATTAAAATTTCAATATTGCAGCAATATTGCTGTAATTTTTGTAATATTGCGCAATATTGCTGCAATATTTTGTGCTGGAGGGCATCATATTTGACTCTAATCTTATTATTAGACAATTAAAAGGCACAAATTTTTCAAGGAAAAATGACATAAAAAGAATACATGCTATTATAAAAAGAATTAAAAATATGAATATTAAGTATATTTTAGTAAGAATAATTCAAATTTACAAATATAATATAAAAAAACTGGATTAATATTTTTGACAAGAAATTTATAATTGAATCCAATAAACCGTCAGCTCTGGATGGTTAATTCGCATCCTGAACACAATTGCAACACGTAGTACAACACGTTTTTGTGTTTTAAGCGATACTTCGAATACGATATATTAATTTCGCTCGGTGCGTCCGTCGCGGCTCGTGCGGACGATACGCGCCGCTGTATAGTATTGTAATAAATTAGGATATTTCGTAAAAAAAAGAAAAGAAGGGAACGAAAGGACGTCGTTACATTCCGTGTACATATTACCATATTTTACGGTACGCTACGTACAATATATTATAGGCGCCGCATCGGAGACTAATATTTAGTCTTCGCGATGGGGGAGAGGGATTCACGTCCAAGTCGACATCGCCTTTCGGCCCACACATGTTCAGTATTATCGCTTTTACGACGTTGCCTGGAATCGCCGAGATATCCTTGGTGAAAATTTTTCTTAGAATGCTTTATATAATTTTTTCAGAATTTCTATATAAATTTCAGAATTTTTCAGAATTTCTGTATGGTTTTATACATATCACCGTTATATTTTATACGTATTCCACTGTTTATTAACTATTAAATAAATACATATGAAGTAAATAATCATACATTATGAATAAATCAAATAAAATAGCTAATATTGTCAAGGATAAAAATGAATTTTGGATCTTGGTGCCTAATAGTGTTTATACATATGTAAATTTTAAATACATCTTTCAAGTATATAAACTGCATCGATTAGTTGTCGGATTTGAAACGCAATCATAAACTGAAATTGAAATATTATTATCACAAATTAAATTGATCGTCAATTTAATAATGATATTAATAAACCTCTTAAAATACTGCAAAATAACTTATTGCGAAAAATACGCATTGTTTGTCGCATCTATCTCAGCTCGGTGTTTCTACATTCCTTTTACAATTTTATAACTTTTTAGAAAGAGTTTATCACATCTTTTTTATACGAATTGAAATACTTTTCACAAATGCTGAGAAAGTCGGCATCTTTTCTAGAATATTTTATGTGAATTCTGAAATATTCTAAGATTTCTCATTCTACACAAATATTCCATAGAAAACTTATAAATTTGAAAAGTTTAAGATATAATTTTTTCAAATTTATAAGTTTTCTATGGAATATTTGTGGAATATTCACAAATCTTCATAAAAATATAAAAATGTCTTAAAAATATTATTAATAGTATTAACCGATTTATTATAATGTCAACTGTAATATATCGTAATAGTTAAATATAAGATATTGTGTGAGAATTCTTTTCACCAGGGGTACAACAGAGGTATTCCGATTCCGCCGACAGAACGTCCCGCTTCTTCGGCGTGCGTGTCTTCTTGCGAACTGCGTTCAAGTCGATCCAATTAAGATAGCACAGTGCACTTATACGAGTAAAAAAGAAGAAAAAATCGCGACGAGGTGCGTCGCGATCGTGTTTTAACAGTGCATGAATTCATCTGAATCTACCGAATCATTTTCACCTCGCGGTTAGTTGCTTTATAAATTTCGTCAACGTGATAAAATAAGATAAAATAAAAAAAAAAGGAAATAGAAAAAACTACGCGAACGTAAATTCTCGGAGCAATACACGTTGCGTTTCGTTATGCAGTTGAGTATCTTAAAAACTTTTATTGCTCGTAGCGCCACATAGTGATTGTTATTTGCTTTATTTTATATAAAAAGCAGTGTACACGTATTCTTTTTTTTTATATAACATTTATTAGTATTTGACGAGCGCAATCGATCGTATCATGAAAAAGACGTGCTATAAAAATACGCAGACAATAAATATGCAATTTGAGGGCGGATGTGTAAAGTATTTTGTATGTGTAAAAATGCTGAAGGGAATTTATATGATCCCCCTGTACAAAATCGACTTTTGCAAATAAAAATGAGACAAAAAAACGACATATATTTTAAACCATTTTACTCTCGCTACTTGTAAAAGAACTTTTGAAAGGGAAAGAAGGTTATCGAAGGAGAGAAGAATACTGGCACTCGTTCGCCGGATTATAAATCCTCGTCTTGACATACGTGATACACCTATAAGGACAGTAGTCGTTCCAACTTTATCCGTAAACAGCATAAGTTAGAATGATGAATGTGCAGACAATAATAGCACAGACAGAAGAAGAAAAGAGAAATATTTTGTATACCGCGATCACACCATGTGTTCTTGCGAACAATAGAACTGGATAATACTTCAACGAGGAGA